AAAACACACAGGCCAATTCATTCTACTAATTAGAAACAGTGCTACTGTCTTCTCGGCAATCTTGTATTTATAATCTACCCTTGAAAGTACTAGAAACATGACAACAAATTTTTAGAACTTTCTAGACCTAATTCAGCATCATCAATTCTAACACAAAACTAAAACATTACAGTAAAATCTGATAGTTTTTCTTTCGGGCTTATGATACACACATGGAATAGTGTCTTGTCCTTCTCGCCACTGCCCATCCTGTGGTTGAAGGAGTTCGTCTTAGGTAGGTAGTGAAGTGTTTCTACTGAAGACTCCTTCCTTTATGATCCTCTAGAAGTGATATCCACAGGAACTTTCTGTTTCTCAGCAGGTTGAGTTTTTAATGTCAATTTCTTTTCTATGGTTGTTCTTTCACAAATGTAATTTTAAAGATGGTCATGATGGATGATGTTTAGCTTGGATTCTCCATCTTTTGGGATTCTAAAACTACATCATTGATTCATTTCAGTACTGTGTATGGCCCATCTTTACCTATTTAACTTTGGAGTTCGTCCTTTCTTGTGGCAAGAGCTGTGCAGCCATATAATCACCTCACTGGATTCCTACCTTATCAGTAATAACATCATAATATATTTTCATTTTATCACTAGCTGATTTAATCTTTTGAGGGTAGGTAAAGTCGTGTATGTATGACATCAATGGTGTTCCCTAATCTCTCTACATTTCATGTAAGACTCTTCTGAATGACTATTCTCCAGACGAGAGTATAAAAGATCCAATGGTACTTTAAGTTTTCTCCAATCATCAGTTATGATGACGTGTTGCTTGTACCTTCGTGTACTGTCGTATGATAACTCTTTAGTAACAGTGGAAGATCTTGATCCCAAGATTTCTGATGTTCATCTACATAAGTGGCTAATTGGTTTAACAGTGTGTGGTTGTGCCTCTCAACCATGCTGTCAGAAGATAGATGAAGTTTTGTCATTTCAATTGAGAAGCACTGTTCTAATACAAAGAGATACATATATTTCCCCAGTGAAAATTATCTGAATGCCTTAGAAGATGGCAGTCATCCTAGGAAGTTGCAGAAAAATAGAAATGTCGATTACAGAAGATTTGAAGATCTCCCTCTCTCGAGACAAAAGACTTCTGCTGTTGTGTCCTTTTCTCATTGTTCAATGAATCCTGCTAATGACTTATCTATGTCTTCTATTCAACCTTCTTAAAGGACATTATGGCCAGTCACAGAGTTATTATAGCAGTTTAAATGGTATTTGAATTGTTAATAAACTTACATTAAGCTGAACCAGAGATGGAAGCAAGTGAATACCAAACAGAAGATTCAAGAACATGAATTGCTTTCCTTGTAATGTATCTGTACTTAAACTGTAAGAGCTTAATAGTGTTAGTATAAAGAGGGAGATAAAAGTAATGCTATGAAAACTGGGATACCATAAAAAGAAGTGTGTTAATGTCATCACCTCGTTTTTCTAAATGGAAAGGGGTATGAGATAGCAAGTTCTACTTTTATTTTGTCATATTTTTCTTTACAGTTTATATATTCTTCTTTCTATTGTTTAGTTCAGCTATATGTTTTTAGTGATATGGAAGCACTAACTCACCTTCTAGTTAAAGCACATTGAATTTGAATATATCTTTATTATCAAATCGACACAAGCTTCCCCTAGCAGTGGTGTAAACATATCAATGTTGTGAAAGATTATGTAAATTAGCTAATCACACGAGATGTAACCTGGTAGTCTAACCACCAAGTAAAAAAGCCTACCTTGAACTTAAATGAGTTTGTTCATAAAATATAGTTAAAATGAATCATTGCTGATTGTTGCTCAATATTGTTATTGATATTGAAATGTTTTAATTTTGGAATATTGTGTTTTTTTGTAGTTTTTTTTTTTGGAGTTAGGTGTTTTCTTCCTCTGTTTTTTTCCTAATGTCTTTACTTATTAAAATTAGTAACATTGATTTTTATATGGTATTGTTTATTAACATTTGTATCAAGTCCTGGTTGGAAATTTATTTTTGTAAGTGATAAGATTTGTATACCAATAGTGTGAATTATTATTATTTTTATTTATTCAGCTGTTAGAGTTTAATAAATTCTTTTTTGTTTGACCCTGGTGATAGCAGCATTTTGTTTTAGTCCATTACATACTTCGGGAGGATTTATTATTCCCTTCAAGCTTTTGTCTGCAGTTCCGGGGAATATGTTGCTTATTTCTTCTATTCTGTGTGACTAGTTGTCTGACCAATCCTTTTAGTTCTTCTAGACTATTGTTGCGTCAGCGAAGTCACATGACTAGTGTCGCGCCACGTTTCTAGAACTATC